TGAAGAATCGCCACAAGTTAAGAAGCAGGGTTTTTTGCTGTTGTACACGTGTGGCAATCTGAGGAAATACAGACCACCTCAACTAGAACCACCAGGAGCTATATATACAGTGCAGAGTTCATAAAGTTTCTTCCTACCCTGAATAAAGTTAGAAACTGCTAATAACCAACACTGGCAATCTTCCCTGGCTCACAACAGTTTTTGCTTTGTGTGACATGTGAGACCTTTCAAATTCTCCTTTTCCTTACCTTATTTAGAAAACCCTTAGATAAGCCAAATTAATTCAGTGAATGGTTGCTCCACACTTAATTGGGACTAACTCTGCCCTAAAATATCCCAGTGAGTTAGAACAATAAGACTTTTTCATATAACTTTGAAGGCTTTAACTGTAGGGTGCCTAGTTACCACTCCAGCAGTTCCAAACAGACTTCTCAGAAATACACACCTGTGCAGCAGTCTGGCTAGGAAGACCAAGGCAATAACTGGGAATGAAATCCAGAACTCACTGCAATATTTCAACACAAAAAATATTTATTGATTAGAAGATATAAAACAAGTTTATTAGCAAGGAAAACTAAGCCTTATCCTTGAATGTTGGTTCTTTTCTTATGGGCTGTAGAAAATCAGATACAGACCTGCAACTTATCTGAAATTTCTACATTTCTCTTCAGAAGCCTATCATGTGTTGTTCCTGACATTACTGTAGCAGTGGCTTTCTTAAAGATCAAGAGAAAATAATTGTGTGGATTTCTGTATGCTCCTATAGATCAAGTTAACATGTGTGTGTTTATGTATACAAAACATATAGTATATTTATATATTTGCTAACAAAGCGAGAAAGGACGCACTATGACACTTGTTGGCTTGCACAGCAGAGAAGCATTTCCAAATTACCATGGTCCAAACTGAGAGTGGCAGTGGCTTATGGTCCCAAGGCTTGTAGGTATACATTTCACGTGTACTGTAATGCATGCCACGTAGTTGTATAAAATCATAATGGAACATTTTATCATGTCTAAATAATGGGAAGTGCATATTGTTTGAATTACTAACCATTCAAAACATTCAGTTACAAGTCACTTGACACTAATTTTCCTGGTCAAATCATTTTTTGAAAGAAGTGTGCCTTGACAAGCAATTTAGTAAGTACCTTTGCAGAGAGAGCCAGGCTTGATGGGTCGTCGCATAAGCTACTTGACATTTGTCCCCAGTCAGGCCGGATGCCACATGAAAAATTTACTCTGGCAAAGGGCTCCCAGGAATAAACAGTTCTCTAGTGTTGCTCACAAGGGAATCAGCAAGGTGAGCAGAACTTCAACTTGTCACGGATGCACTGTTCTGACAAACATAAGTAGATGCTAATGGCTAAATCGTGACAGAATAAAGTCCCACAACCATATGGCTAATTGCCACAACAATATCTTCAGCGTTATTAATCAAGTTTTCATAGTGTGCCATGATAATTGGAATAATTAGAAGCAGCATAGGCATCGCTTGCCTCTGCGTCTCTTTTTCTTCTCTCACTTTCTCACTACACACACATGCACACAAACACACACATTTCAGACAGAGACCTGGAAGAACCATAATATCTGTACTGCATTATTTAGTGATTGTTTTCCAGCAAATATTGTAGGTAATTAATGAATCACCTACTTTTCATACAAACCTTTTGTTATCAGCGGGTTTCTACAGAAGTATATAGGTAATTAAAGGAAACTACCATTTTCTGTCCAGAGATGCTATTTCTGTCTGTGCCATTTGAAAATCTGTCGTTTATGCACAACTTTAGGAAACATAGAAATACTTTCTGTTTGTATGTTATTTTACATTTTTCTAGGTAAAATACATGAATTTTCTTCATTTTAACTAGTTGTAGTAGAAACAATTGTGTATGCATGTGATTTGTTTGTTACATTAATAAGAATAAGAATAAGAATAATACAACCACATGCTATCAAGCCAATTCAAACCTATCATGACACTTGCCAGGATTTTAAGGTAAAGGTTACTACAAATGGTTTACTAGTTCCTTTTTCTGTGACTACTCTGAGATTGTGTGGCTTTCCTCAGGCTACATAGGCTGGCTCTTCTCCTATGAGTCACAGCAGGGAATTGAACTCGCAACCTTTGGCTCCACAGCCAAGTACACAACTCATTTTGCTGTCCAATGAGCTCTTGTTGCATTAGCAAACTATAATATTCTATATTCATCAACATATTTTAACATATACTCAATATTGCCTAAAGTTCTTACATTCTTGCTTTCAAAATTTATAAACCTTACACAGAATCTATTTTAGAATTGCCAGATGCAACTCTAAATTGTGACAGCTCTAGAAAGGAAGTGAAAGTTGCTCTGAAAGCATTAGGAAATAAGAAATTACCAGAGGTAGATATTGATATAACTCTTTCAAGCCAGATAAAATGATTGTGTCAAAATCCTAACAAGAATACTTCAACAAATATGGAAAACAAAAGAATGGCTCACAGACTAGAATTGTTCAATATACATTCCAATCCCTAAAAAAAGGAGAGGAATGCAGCAACTGTAGGGCCATTGCTTCAATTTCCCATGCAAGCAAAGTGATACTCAAGATGCAACAAAGTCTTTTACCTTACATGGACCAAGAAATGTCTGATGTCCATGCTGGATTTTGAACAGAGGCACTCAAGCTCATAGTGCAAATATTCACTGGCTACTGGAGAGCACTAAAGAATTTCAGAAGATCAATCTGTGCTTTATAGACTACACCAAAGTCTTTGACTGTGTAAACTATGGATTGTTCTGAAAGAAATGAGTGTGTCTCAGCACTTGATTGTCCTGATGTGTAACTTGTATAGTGGACAAGAAGCTACTGTTAGGACAAAATAGGGAGAGAAAGAATTGTTTTCTGTAGGCAAAGGAGTCAGACAAGAGTGCATTTTAGCTCCTTATCTGTTCAATTGTATGTAAAATATATCATACAGAAAGCCAGACTGTATTCAGATGAAGGAGTAAGGAATACTGGTGAAAGAAACATCAATATAGTAGTACAGTGGATCCCCGGGGGATCAATTGGAAAAGACAATAATGCTGAGAAAACTGGAAGGCAGCAGGAAAAGAGAAAGACCAAATATGAGATGGACTGATTTCCTAAAAGAGAACATAGGCTTCAGTCTTTAAGAGCTGAGCAGGGTAGCTGAGGACAGGACATTTTGGAGATAGCCCACTCATAGGATCGCTTTGAGTTGGAGGTGACTTGATTGCCCATAACAACAAGAACAACAAATGCAACTTGTGAAAAAGACAAGTTTCATACTTTCGTGCTCTGAAGTTTCATACTTTCGTGCTCTGAATCTGCTTTGAAGGTAAAAATTCTAGCTCTGGGCTGAGAATGTAAATAAACCAGTATTTTTTGCTTAGCTAAGTATTTAAATCATCATCTTTATACATTTGAAACTGGACTAGTTGTTTACAAGGACCCTCTTTCGGATGGTGCTAGTAATGAGAAACCACCCAGTATTTCCTGGGTACATGAATAAACAATTAGCCAACTGGTCAGTATAACTGGAAGATTGATGGTAATGACTCACTTCATGAATGTATGAAGGCATTTAGCCAAACTAATGGATTGAAATGGAGTGCTGTCTATGGCCTTTGAAGGGCAGCTTAATTTAGTTTTAGAGCTTACATAGACATAAGATGAAATACTGTGGTGACATAAATCTTTCCTGTTTCTCCTTTTCTAAAATTAAGCTTTTATTTGATTGAGAATTTGCAGAACAATATATTTTCAGGTGCTCCATTTTTCTTTGTAAAATGCCCCAAACTGCTGAAGCTGAGTTTTGATTGACATTCATCAGGTGTCTTTTTGGGGGGATAAATTTTGAAAATTAAAGTAGTGATTTGTACTGGACTAAAAATAATTATCACAAAGAGTTTTGCCATCTTTTTGAGTGTTTCCAGAAATTATTTGTGACTCAGTAAGCCCATCCTCATGTTTGGGGAGGACAAACAGTAAGAATGCCAGGAACAATTTTTCAGTGCTGTCCATTCCACTCAGTTTATGCTCCAAGCAGAGAAACTGTAAAGGCTATGTTTCTTGATCCTATTATTGTAAGTGTAGAAGCCTTTGTGATGAATAGCAGGAGGAGGAGGAGATGAAGGAGAATAATTGTTTCTTCCCTCTCTGCATTTTCTAGACCTGCTGAATTGAAGGGCCATGAAGGGCTTGGTGTTCCCTCAAACAAACCATAACCTCCTTGACGGATCCCCTCCCCTGCAGCAAAACCATGAACTGCCTCTGCTCCCTATTTCCCTCCCATAAACAAGGTTTTCCTAGAATTCTCCTCTGCTGTCCTGAAAAATGCTGTGAAAACCAAGAGGAAGAATATATTTTCATCCATGTAATTCTTATCCATGAGCTATTGGATACATGCTAGGTTATGACCAGGTTTTTCACCACCACCACCATCACACTATATCCCAGTAGTACTTTGCTCTCCCCCTTTTCAGTGAATGGCAGCCATTTAGTTGCAAGGTAGCAAATGAAGGGAAGGATTAAACTAGGGTGACAGCCAAAGTTCTCACTTTAATTGACAGTCACAAACATAAAAAATCAAGTCTGTCTCTTGTTCAAGCTCTCTGTACTGGGTTCTGATTCTTAGTCATGCCAGAAGGTGTTTCGGTGTATGCGGGGGAGGAGTACACACATCCTTGTCTATGCACATGTCTGCATGAACACAAGTGTGGAGTGAAAGAGAGGTACATAATTTCTCCTGCTGCTGCTATATCTGATCTGGAATATGTATCTAGGTAAGGAATACCTTGTTTCCAATACTTCAGAGCTTTCCAACCTGAGTACAAATAATTTTAAAAACTCAAGGTATGCCTTTCATTGAGGTTTTAGAAATTAGTTGGGTACTTTTCGTAACATACACCCCATGATATTCAGTAGAGAAATTTACAATTTAAAAAATATTTTTAATTTTTTGAAAAAAATCTTTAATGACCTGCCTGTTAGTTGCCTGTTTTCCATATGTGCAAACTAGCTAGAGACTTCCTGCCTGTTTCTTTCAGTACAGTGAAAATAGAAATGATGAAGCCAACAGGGATTCCAGAGTGGATGATATTGCAACAGCTGGCTCCTCCCTGGTTTCCTTCTTCCCTCTCTAGCTTTGAGGAGACTGGGGAGTTTTCCTGGCTGCAACCACCCTATAGAAAAAAGAACATTGAAGTGAAGTGAGAGAAAGGGTGGACCTCCACTAATTTACACCCCCTCTACTTGCAGCTCTTTTAAAAATCCCCAAATGTAGAGGTACCAATCAAAGGCAAACCATGTTTAAGAAAGTGAATAGTTTCCTCAATGCCATTTTGAATGTGCAGAGTAATATTTTTAGACAAAAGAGACAAAAGGTACCAGTTCTTCTAAATTATCTGTTCCGCATATGCCTACTGCAGCTTTACAGTATGACTGAGTGTTTTAATTATTTAGGCATGGTGCAAGACAATTAAGAATTGTTACTTTTTCAGTTGGCTAATTCTTTACAGCATATTTGCAGGTGAAAAGGAGACACAAACATGGAAATTTTTGAGAAACACAATGGCTAAAGCAAGAGATGAAAAGAGAAACACTTTAGAAAAGTTCAGATTTAATTTATAGATTTTATTCAGTACATTGCCAGTACATAGACCTGCAAATTCTTTGGTTTAAAAGAAAGTTAAGCCTCCCACAGTTATGGAAATTGTAATTTAAATCTATCTTGTTAATTATTGATTTATTAGAGTTACACAGAATTAAACAGGCTGTCTAAAGCATTTAAATGAAAACTGGCATTTACAAGGTTTAAAACTTCTTAGGAATAGTATACATATTAATATTCCTTCAAGGCATATATAAAAGTGCTTTAAAAAGAACAACAAAGGTCATGTGTATTAGGAATTTGGGGTGTGGAGATGGATCTGAGACAAATCAGTTTTCCAGGTCAACAGCAGAGACTCACCATCAGTGTATTTACAAAATATGTACAGCAGAACTATGTACATTAGTCAGCAGACTAAACACTACACTTATCAGTAAAATAAACGGAGAGCACTCCATGCAGCAACTCTCTATACAAAGCTCCATATTCCACTATAGTGTGCAACTTATATAGTGTGAGCAACCCATCACTGGCACATCACCTAATGTCTTCTCCTAGACATTACATCATGCCCAATACATATTTCAAGGATTGCATCGGCTACATGTGCTGACTTTGTGGCTGCACACCTGTTGTAGAATAGATGCCTAATAGAACACCCTGGTTCATGTACTTTAGTTAATGCACAAAGAGTAAATTCTCTATTATGGGCCACAATGTGGTTTCCCCCCCCCCGCCAACCGGCTGTATAGTTATTAAAGGGTAGAAGGGTAGTAGAGAGACAGACTAAGTGATACCTAATTGAAAGTTCTTATGTTTATAGGTTTTGTACATCACTGGTTCTTGGGATAGCATGGCTAGTTAGATTTATTTTTGCATAAGTAAATATTGAAGATTGCAAGAAATAAGAAAAAGATTTGAGAAAAGAGGATTGCTTATCAAAGTGTCAGCGCTTGATAAGGATGTCTGATTCCCCAGGGAGCTCCACATCAGCTAGGCAAAGGGAGGCCTGTGGTTCATCATAGCTGACATTATCCCAGTAAAGGGTTAATCCCAGAATGAAATCAGAGAATCATTGGCAGTCATTTCCAAACTCATATGAGTATCTAATAATAAGCATTTTCTCTGTTGCAATAAATCCAGGCAACTCCAGAGCTTGTTAATTCTCTACAAAGCTTTTATTTTTATGTAACTTCTGAGTTCTGTAATTCAATAATAGGAAGTCCAGAATATATTGAAGACAGTCTTACAGTTGTGAGGGAAGAAACTACAGGTTGAAATACTTAAAAATAGGAAAACTGAGCTTAATTTTAGGCAAATACTTAAGTCAGAAAATATAAGATTAAGAATACAATAAAATATCAAACAATGTTTTACGTTGCATTCTTAAAAATATTTATTTTATTTTATTTTTGCACTGACCATCTAGCAAATTAATCCCAGAATGAAATCAGAGAATCATTAGCAGTCATTTCCATACTCATATGAGTATCTAATAATAAGCAATTGTTAAGCTTAAAAAGCTATTAAAGTAAAATACATCATGCCGCCTGTTAGATACATACAAAATTATTTCTAAAAAAGAGAAATGCTCACCCAGCCTGGCCAGTTAAAATATTAAGGCAGAAATTCATCCATGATGATGGTTGTTATTCTTTAATATCTGATGTTCAAATAAGTGTGGAGTTGTGATGAATGCCTGCTCATTCATTCACTGCTTCTATCTCACTACTATATATACCCTATCACTATATTTATAGACTGTTCCTGCAAAAAAATAAACAAACACCAAACAATTATTACATCATAATATAAACATTCTTATCCCACTAGGGTAACAGAGAGCTGTGAGAGTTGATAGAGCCCCAGTAACCAGCTAGGGCTCCACCCAGCACTCCCTACCAACCAATCCACTTCTGTGTCTGCAGTCCACCAGTCCACCTCAATACCAGCAGCTGGCTGTACGAGCCGGACTAAGGTATTTCATTCCCCCCCCCTTGGTCTCTGTTCACATGACATCATCACATTATTGTTTATGCTTTACCATGAAAATCTGCACTCGGTGAATAGCCATGCTATCTTATCCATAGCTCTGTTCCCAAACAAATTGATTGCTGTAGAAAACAATGAAACCAAACCGGACTGTTGTCTTTCTTTTGCTCTAAAGGTTCCCCTTGACATTTAGTCAGTCATGTCCGACTCTAGGGCGTGGTGCTCATCCCCGTCTCCAAGCCGTAGAGCCAGTGTTTGTCCGTAGGCTGTTTCTGTGGTCATGTGGCCAGTGTGACTAGACATGGAACGCCGTTACTTTCCCACCATGGTGGTACCTATTTATCTACTCGCATTTGCATGCTTTTAAACTGCTAGGTTGGCAGGACCTGGGACAAGTGACGGGAGCTCAGTCCGTCACGTGGATTCGATCTTACAATTGCTGGTCTTCCGACCTTGAGCACAGAGGCTTCTGCACTTTAACCCGCAGTGCCACCCTGTCTTTTGCTTTAGAGCACTTTACAATCACTTCTTTCTTGCAACTTCCTTAATCATTTCTTAACAACTTAAACTCTTCTCTCTCTTTTAATATTGTCAAAAGGATAAAACAGGTAAACTGGGCCATGTTGAGAAAAGAAATGCAGGGAAGAATTTTTTAACAGGTGCAGCATTTAGTAATACTAACCTTGAGTACTTGTGACTTTAAACCATCAAGATAGAAGACCAATTGGCCTTGCCATCTCAGTTTTGGACCCCAAAAATAAGGGACAGTGAAAATAAATTCCTCTGCCCCAATGTTCAAGAGTGAAGGCACTCCCATATGTGAAGAAAAGACAACTCAGAGCAGCCAGTGTTTCAGAACTATGGTTACAACTCAGAAATATTAGGGAGAAGAAGAAAAGAGTTCCATATGGTTGATGGAACAGCTAGAGATATGGTAGGAGGTTTATAGGCATGTGAGCCTAATGTGAACAAGGAGGAGGGAAGCAGTTGATCTGCAGAGTTCTGTTACTCTGTCCCTGTGAAAATTCCATGGAGACAACATTCCAAAAAATTCAGCAGCCTTTGATTCTGTTCTGAATCCTGTTTCTGAATTCAATGATTATAAATGACTATAAAAATGCAACAGTTATGTTTCTTTAGCGCTTATGTGCAGGGTTTGAACATCTGTAGAAGAAGGGTTTTCTTTCTTGCTCTGTTGAAACTGAAGTGGACCCTCCTAGTTTGAGTTCATCTTACCAGTTCCAGAATACAGAAAGTATTGTTGACACTATAGGGACAGAATGAGGAAAAAGGTGAGATTTAGGGCCACCAGATACATCAAGTACCTGAACCAGTGTGGGACAGCAAACATTCGAGACAGTTGTTGTTCTTGTTTGGGGGAAAAGGAAACCAATATGCATACACAGCAATGGACAGGCAGAAAATGGGGGTAAGGGTCATACATGGGTGACACAAGTACTGGAATGATTGTTTATTGGAGGACATCAACAGGTGTACTTTTCTATAGATATACTGTACATGCAGTTACAAATTCTCCCAGCAGTTTATACAAATATGAGTGAAACTGTATAGGTAGTGGTGCAAATTGCCACTAATTGACAAAATGCCACGTCTTCCTGGTTGTGTTCCTGTCATGCAACCAGGAACACAACTAGTATCTCATTAATTAAAGAACTGCTGGATAGCTCAGTGATTTAGGTATCTGGCTGTGGAGCCAAAGGTTGGGGGTTCAATTCCCCACTGTGCCTCCTTAACAGGGGCTGGACTTGATGATCCATAGGGTCAATTCCTGCTCTGCAGTTCTAAGATAGTGGCAATTTGTTCCCATGATTTACATGATTTCATGTATGCGTACATAACTTGCCAGTATCAGTTAGAAGTAATTAAAGTGTTGTTGTGCAGCAGAACAAATCAACATTCTACAAAGAAAATCTAAAAGCAAGGGCAGCCCAAACAAAAAAAAAATAGCTTTGAAACTCCCATTAATACTTGTTGAGAAACAGCTTTGTGTTTGGGTGAGAAATGGTTAACTGATAAAAAAGCATCAGTTTGTGGGATTTCCCACTGTATAGTATCATTTTGTGAACAGTGATGAGCAGAAGAGGGTATCCTGCAGAACATCTTGACTACTGATACGGGTGTTGTCAATATTCAGGCTGCTCTTTGCTATGTAAAACTTGGCATCTTTTTTCCCTGCTGGCAACACAGGCATGATATTTTGCAGCAATATTGGGCCATTTCCTGGTGTTTTGAATTGTGGATATAGAAGCACAATATCCCACATTCATGAACTGGAGGTTTTTTTAAGAATTGAATTGTATTATAATCGTTAAATGTTGTTAATCCAAATAGAGAGGACAAAAATTAGTTGGGCCTCACTTTAGCCTTTTAGCACCGTAGTGGTTCCACATTGCTTCTGCAATCACTGTAGAGTTTTCCCTGTAATTTGAGTTACTCCACCAATGCTCCTTGATCACTTCTACATTATTCGCTAACTTCTTCCTTTACCCCAACTCTGCCTTCAGAGATCCAGCTGCACTGTTACTTAACAGCTATTTTAATGTCATCTCCACTGTAGGTTTATTTTCAAAGATGTATTCTGGATCATTCATTCCCATTTTAAAAAAATATCTCATTAAACATCTATTCAGGGCTCAGGCTGGTTTCAGTATTGCTTCAAACAGTACAGGAAGAGATTTGGAAAGCCAAAGCAAAGAGTAGGTACCAAGTGAGGAAAGTGGATTGAGAAATATGAATGTGTATATACCGTATTTTTCTGTGTATAAGATGCTACTTTTTCCTAAAATCTTTAGTGTAAAAATTGAGGGTCATCCTACACATGGAAGTAAGCTGAGGAGAGACCAACATGGCCCATACCTTGCAATTGCAAACAGGCTTCCTTCAGTCCCGAGGCTTAGCTGCCTCCAATCACGAGGCTTAGCTTCCTCCGGTCATGAGCATTATGTAACTGAGGTCAGTTGATGCTGAACGAACCAATTGCAACAGTGCTCAGATGCAACAGGGACTCCTAGTGTCTGAGTATTCTGAGCCCAGAGGCTGAATAAACTTAAAGTGTGATGCATAATATGAAAGTACTGGTATGTAAACGTTCTGATTACTAAATAAAAATGTGTTCTGTTTTATGTTTAAAATATTGATTTCTTCATTTTGAGTTAGAAAAATGGGGGCATCTTATACATGGTGGTGTTTTATGCACAAAAAATACAGTAGTCATCTTAGCTTAAGATTCATTGAGGGAATAAAATAAACCAATTAATTAGAGAGGAGGGTATTTAAAGGTAAGGCTGCAGCCTAAAAATGCTTCATAGTGCATTAAAACAATGCATAGTGGTCAGGAGTTCAATTCATCAATTCTTATTTGATTTGTCAGACATGCCTCTTCCTATGTTGTCTTCGGTAATGAAACCAAAAAGTTGGTATGATATAGTAGATAAAGACTGTTGAGCCAGAAACTGGGATGTTAGGGCTACTTCTCACTAAGTTTGGCAATTCATCGGGCATCTTGGGCCAGTCACTGACTCTCGGCCTGTCTTACCTCACAGCATTGTTGTGAGGGTGAGGTGGGGTCAGAAAGAAGAAGGGCCATGTATGATGCTTTTAGCATCTTTGATGGAAAGGTAAGATATAAAAAATAACTAAATAGCCCGTAAGGATGTATTGTTAGTGATGCGGTCTGTGGGACTTCCCTTGAAAAAGATTCTGCAGCTGGTACAGAATACAGCAAGTAGAGACCCATAAATTTCCATAAATAGGGTGGATATAGGATTCTAGAAAAATCCTATACAGTATCTGATCTGTTCAAATACATAACACATAATGATAAGTCTCTCCTTAAAAAACTGTACATATTTCATATTACATTTGTTATATCTCTTGAAATAGAACCATATCTCTCAGTTCAGCAGATTCAAAAAAAATTTGAGCCACTTTACTATTACACATTACACATTTAAAGAATCACTGGTTTGTGAAATCCTTATTTTACAACTGTACAAGACTAAAAAGCATTAAAACTGACAAAAACACTCTATTGATCTTTCTGACAGGCAGCAGCCCTCTGAGTTTCCAGAAGGAACTTCCCACTAAATTCTTAATTACAAATATTTTATTTTAAAGATTAAATTTCCTTTTAATAGTATCACTCCTGTATTTTAAAGATTTGTTTCTCTCAGTTGTAGGTCATTATTAAACCACTGTTTACAGGTTGAAATTATTGTTCAGAATTATGGCTTAATTACGTAAAAATCATATATAGAAGATATAGAATATGATAAAAGAATACACTGTTGTGAGCAAACGGTCTGCAGGTGTAGCAGATGTGGAATTGAAATTAATAGGACAGAACTATAATTAAACTATAAGCCATCTGAAGAGAAGGGGGTCCTCTTGTCCAGCAGTATCATTAAGAGAAACTTAGTTTCTAAATATTTGAAAGAGCAATAAAAATTTACTAATGAGTTCAAAAACACTCCAACTTGGAACGTAATTCCTTCATGGCATCCCTTTTTATGAAGGCTGAGCTTGCTGAAGTCAAACCATATGGGAACTTAGTTCAGAGACAATGGAGTCCTTGGTTTATGGATGCTCTAAGAAAAATGTTACTTTTAAAAAGCAAATAGCAGTCAGTATCTAACCATTTAAAGTTGTATAAAGTGCTTACACCCATTGAGTTGAAGAGGTTCTAGTCATTAATGGTAACATTATGATTAGCAAAGCAGTCCAGTTTTTCAGCTGTCTACATCTATGAAAACAGATTGTCTCTAGGGAGTAAGATTTAATATTTCCAAGAGAAAATCTAAATGCAGAAAAGTTGGGGGAGGAGGATTGACTGACGGGCTTTGGTATGAGCAAAATAAGCTAAATCTACAAACGATTAGCACTGCATAATGAACTGGTAAAGAAGAAAAGGAGATTTCTGATAAAAGACTAATAACAAATCCCATTATGCCATGGTGCATTTTTCCTTTAAAGTATATTAGTTTTATCCATCCTCCCAAGTTGCATTAGGTAGCTGTGAATAAAGTCAGCTCAAATGCTTCCAGCATTGTTGAATTCTGATTCTTAATAGTTTGTGAAACATGAAAGGTGGGTGAGTTTAGGAAAAGGAGGAACTGCTATTTAAAGTGATAGGCTTCCTGCAGAGTCTAAGTAATGTTTGTGGCACTGAAAGGTAATAGTTTCCTGTAGGCTAGTCACTGAGGGGTGATTTTTCCACTATTAGGTGGAGCATGTTGTGCAGAATGTTGTTAGAATTAATTGTACAAAATTAGTTTTGCTCAGTATTCCTCCCACACCTTCTATTGTAACTGACAAAGTTTTATAAGCAGATATTCATAGAAAACTGAAGACATTTTTCATTTTTACTATATTGTTTATAAATCTGTTGTATTTCTTAACTTGCTGCTGGTAGTGCCCAGTCATTGCTGAAGTTACCTCTGACTTACCCAGATGAATATTGCAACCAAAACATTTAATGTGATGATTAATGTTATCGTAAAATAATGTTCAGATGTCCAAGTCATTTTAAAAAGAAAAAAAGCACTTTAAGTAAAACTATGAACCTGTGTAAACTGGTACAAAGTGTTATAGACCTTACCAAATATCTGTCCACAACTAGCTTAAGGTAAAATGTCAAAATCCCTTACATACTCTCAGTTTGAATCCATATTGTGATATTTGAATTAGAGTTGACACATTGAAATTTATGAAACTAAGGTTAGTTATAACTTATGAGTAACTTAAATCCTGCTGATGTATGTGAATCTACCCTAATTCTGAATAAATTTGGATTCAACAGACTCTCATAAATAGCTAGAAAACATCTATTTTAAAGTGTTTTTTTTTTGCAAACCAGTAATGTCTGCTCAGTGTACAGTGCTATTTTTGATATGCTCTGTTGAATTTCTTTTTAGGCGATGGGTAAGGCTTCTATTTGGAAGAGAGTTTCCTCTCCAGGACCTTCTAGTTGTCTGGGATGCTTTATTTGCTGACAGCATCATGCTTGATTTGGTTGACTACATTTTCCTAGCCATGTTGCTGTATATTAGAGATGCCCGTGAGTATCTGTCATGTTATATTTCAGAAACACTTACAACATTTAAAAAATATTCATTACCTTTTTAACTGGAATACATGAAAAAGAGTAAGTTTGATTGGAGATTGTTTGTATCAAATTTTTTACAGTGTATAAAAACAATATTATTTAAAATCATTTTAATGCTCTTATTCTACTCTTATTCTGACCAAGTTATTTTGATATACAGAATTGTATATTGCATTCCATAAAACAGAGGAACCAAACTAAGTATAGAGCACCACCTTCTGCCAGATGTGGTGTATTGAGTAAAACTCTACATTCTGATGATGTATATTCTATGCTGTATATTTTTAAACAAGGGAATAACATATTAATAAGTAATAGCCTTCTAAAGTACAAATCATTTTCTATTATTTACATACATTTTTCCTTTACCCTTCAATAAAAAATTTAAAAATAATCAAATGCTTACTGAAGGTCTATAAATGTGAATATAACACACATCCATGGGAAAGTTTTTCTGATGATGTATATTCTATGCTGTATATTTTTAAACAAGGGAATAACATATTAATAAGTAATAGCCTTCTAAAGTACAAATCATTTTCTATTATTTACATACATTTTTCCTTTACCCTTCAATAAAAAATTTAAAAATAATCAAATGCTTACTGAAGGTCTATAAATGTGAATATAACACACATCCATGGGAAAGTTTACATCAAGTTTTAGAG